TGTGTACTAGAACCATCGCGCGCGCTCGGCGCGCGCTCGGGTTCCAGCGCAGGCCTGTGGTCGCTGAGAAAGCTTGTTGACAGCGCTCTCATGCACAAGCGCGTGCCGCAGTCTTACCCAGCTCTACCCTCATCCTCACCCTCGCACTCCGTCTCATCATTCTACGCATCGTCATCATAACAATCATCATGATCATAATCACCATCAGCAACAGCACCAGCACAATCCATGAGACCATCAGTGGCCAAGTGCTGCTCGCCATGCCGTTACCTCAAACTCGCGTATCATCATCAACACCATCATCAGCAGCAACAGCAGCATTATCAGCAGCAGCATAAGCATCATCATCAGCGTCGGCATAAGTATCGGCATCATCAGAATCATCATCATCAGCATAATCAGCATCAGCATCATCATCAGCATCATCATAAGCATCAGCATCATCATCGGCAGCATCATCATCATCCTCATCCTCATCCTCATCATCATCGCCATTATCATCAGCAGCAGCATCATTATCATCATCAGCATCATCGTCGTCATCACCACCATCATCTTCATCATCACCATCACCATCACCATTACCACAATCATCATCATCATCATCATCATCAGCATAATCAGCATCATCATCGCCATCGCCATCGCCGTCGTCATCGTCATCGTCATCACCACCACCACCATCGTCATCATCAGCAGCAGCAGAATCCTCACCTTCATCCGCATCCTGCTCCTGCTCCTGCTCATCATCATCATCTTCAGCATCATCATCATCATCATCATCATCAGCATCATCATCATCATCATCATCATCATCATCATCATCATCATCATCATCAACATCAACATCAACATCAACATCAACATCAACATTCACAACATCAACATCAACATTAGTCAACATCAACATCATCGTCGTCGTCATCTTCGTCGTCGTCATCATCGTCGTCGTCCTTATCATGGGTGTGAAGCTCCATTGGTGAAGCTCCCTGAGTGTTTGTGAGAGTAGTCTCTTGGGGTCTCTTGGAGTCCCACTTCGGGGCATTGCGGGACGGGCCGTCGGGAGTGAAGGATTTTGGCCTCCAGGGGGCCTCCTGGAAGCGTATTGGGAGCCTTTTGGGGGCGTGATGGGGCCGTCTTGGAGCCATATGGAGCTGAATGGGGCCGTCTGCAAGCCATCTGGGGCCGTCTTGACGGGCCCGTGGGACGTCTCGCTGCCATGTTCGGCCGTCTCGAAGCCACCTTGAAGGGTTTAGGGGGGACCCAGTCGATCGTTTTGGACCTCTCTGTTCCTCGAAGGCCATTATTCGACCATCCTGAGGCCTCAGAAGGCCCTCGGGAGCGAAAAAGCGGGACCTTCAAAACCTGCACGGCTTTGAAAGGGTTGGGGCCTCCTGGGGGCCTCTTGGAAGCCTCTTGGGGGCCGCTCGGGGCCGGCTTGAGGCCATCTTGAGCTGTCTGGGTCCATCTGGAGGCTGGCTTGGCCCGTCTTGGTGGGCTCGAGGGCCGTCCCGAAGCCAACTTCGGCCGCCTGGGAGCCATCTTGGAAGATCTTGGGGGCCCCCGTCCACCGTCTTGGGCCGATTTCGTTTAGCTTCTCGAGGGCCTCTCGGGGGCCTTTGGGAACCGCCTGGGGGCCGTCTCAAGCTGCCTGGGGCCGCCTGGACGGGGCCTGGGGCCGTCTTGGCGGTCTCGAGGGCCGTCATAGGAGCCATATTCGGCTGTCCCGCCCATTCGTTGTCATCCAGCGGCGGGAGGCCATGGTGCAGAAGTTGCTCCTTGTCCTCCTCCTCCTCCTCCTCCCTCCTCCCTCCTCCTCCTCCTCCTCCTCCTCCTCCTCCTCCTCCTCCTCCTCCTGCTCCTCCTCCTCCTGCTCCATCTTGAAGTCTTGAAGGGTCTGAAGGGTCTCGTGGGCTCCCGTCGACCGTCTCGGGCCTCCGTGGGGCCCCCGGGCGGCCGCTCTGCCGGACCGCCCCGATGCCGCAGGAGCCCCCCATCGGAGGCGACGGGGCGAGATCCTGGAAGAGACTGGCTGCTGGCCTCGCGGGGGCCTCGCGGGAGCAAAAAACAAAAAAAAAAAAAAAAAAAAAAAAAAACTGTTGGCCTCGCGGGAGCCTCGCGGGAGCCTCGCGGGAGCCTCGCGGGAGGTGTTTGAGAGGTGCTGGCCTCGTGGGAGCCTCGCTTGGGAGCCAGCCTCGCGGGAGGTGTTTGAGAGGTGCTGGCCTCGTGGGAGCCTCGCTTGGGAGCCAGCTTCGCGGGAGGTGTTTGGGAGGTGCTGGCCTCGTGGGAGCCTCGCTTGGGAGCCTCTCGATGGGGCATCCTGGGGGGCGTCCCGGGCCGAGGGCAGGGGGGGGGGCGGAGGCAGGAAGAGGGGGGAGGAGGAGAGGAGAGAGAGAGAGAGGAGGAAAGGAGAGGAGAGAAGAGAGAAGAGGAAAGGAGAGGAGGAGGAGAGAGAGGGGAGAGAGAGGAGAGAGAAAGAGGAGGACCATGAAGAGGGGAGAGAGAGAGAGAGAGGAGGAGGAGGAGGAGGAGGCAAAAAGAGGTGAACGGAAGGCGAGAGATGGGGGAAACGGACACGCACTCTAGCGCACGCACGAGGGGGGGGGCTTGGAAAAAACAGGATGTGAGAGGAGCTTCATTTGTTTTCTCAAGCTGCCCCCTCATCCATTAATAGCGAGGCGGGAAGCAGGACGAGGAAGGCGGGAGGAGAGATAGGGAGGGGAAGGGGGGAAGGACTGAGGGAGAAATGAGAAGGAGAGA